CACAAAAGAAGATATTTTGAATAATGTTGGTAACCAAACAGATTCCCCCCCTCCATACTATGGAAGTCAATTGCTTCTGTTAAATGTTTGGTTACCAGCATTCTTTAAAATATCTTCTTTTGTCTCAGCTCTATTATTTGGACACTCTTAAAATATGTAAGTTTTTCTTCAACTACAGGAATTTTTATGTCCCAGGGGTCAGCTTTTATTTAAACAAACAGATTTTAATTTTATTTTGTTGTTTTTATAAGAAAGTGTGTTGTAAAAATGTACTGTACTATCCCAACACCAACTATTTTTGTTGCTTTTCAAATGCCTTTTATGTGTAGATGTATTATTTTACACTTGTTCCAGAGCAATACTTAAGAAGTATAAGAAGACAGTGCCATAACAAAATATTGCTATGCAACAAAAATATCCATATGCTATATGTATACTACTCTGTAGGTGTTTTACGCTGTGAATATATTGTGGATTTTATAGCAGAAATAAGATATAATAACATAATAATAATACAGTACAGCCTCTGTTAAATCAAAATGTAACCAAGTTTATTTGGTTTTAAATAGTACAAACATATTATACACTTTTACTAAAATCACATTGCAGATACTACTTAATTTGATATTTTGTTATCCATGAAATTTACACATTTCAAACAGTATTAAAGTGTAGCAAAACACATTTCTCCAATGTACTTGACATACATTGTACTCTAACAAATGAGTAAAATATGGCAACAATGATTATATTTATAATAACTAATATAAAGTGCACATCTGAGTAAACCACTATCACTTTGAGATAGGTTTGAGAGCAGGGCCTGGATTTTTAAACAGCATTACTATGCAAAAACATGATCATCTGTCTGGAAGCAATGTAATCTTTGGCAGAGTTACACTTTATAACAACATGTACATCATTTGAATCAATCAATGGCCGTTGCTCTGCACTAGACATGGCATCATTGAAATAACATCTGGCACATTGACAACTGCATTTAGCAGAATGCCTTCATGAGGTATTTATACTGGAACTAAAACATGAATGGCATCATCTATTATGCTTTTATTTTATTTTTAACCTTTCAGTTAGTGTGTAATATAGCTATTTATGCATTATAAACGTATGGGAACATGGAACAGCAACTTCAATACATGAAAAGACCAGGCAAACACGATAGCATAAATCCATGCCCATTCATGTATTGAAGCCTTATGTTTGCCCTGTCTTGTTGTGTAACATGACATCAACAACCAATGAACAGACTGAACTAATGAAGCAAGAACCAATGAGAACATGACACATGAATCAAAGGAAACCATTAAAACAAGACACATGTACAAAGGAACAAAATGACCAGGGGCCTGTCCAAATACACACACTTGCGGTCTTTGCACTTGACCACTTGTCTACTTACATGACATATTTGCTGTATTTGGCCCAAGTGTTCAAGTAAGCGTGAAGTGTGTTAAGAACTTTTGATTATCCAATGGCTCACACACTTATACCCCAGTTGCACAGACAAGGTTTAAGTTTAATCCCAGACTAAAATGCATGTTTCAGCTGTTTTAACTGAAAGCAACTTGCACTCGCATATCTTAAAATATGTCAGTGCCATTGATTTGTCTCAATATGCACACCAGTAATGTTTTTTTTTTCCTAAGACATGTTAATAAAAGCTACTGAGGTGCCCTAGTGGAGCCAAGGCTTAATCCTGACTTAATCTAAGCCCTGTCTGTGAAACTGGGCGTTTAATGTCCTCGACTGCCTCTGTAGTCCCATTTAGACACTTGTTTGCAACCGCCTTTTTCAAGACACACAACAGCTTAAAAAAATCACGAGTGGGGTAATAGTTATGTATTTTATGTCGTAGAATAAAACGTGAAAGTATCTTGAGCTTTTGTTTACCACAGACCTTCAGTTGTTTACCACAGACCTTCAGCCATTCAACCAAAATCCTTTAAAAAAAAACCATTGAGTTCAGGACGATGGAACCAGAAGTGCTAAAATGCTAACTCGCTTCCACGTTTTGTCCTACAAAGTGATGTCATACCTGGACACTATTACTTTAACTTACTTATTTTCCACGACATCTCTCAATATCTGGGCATGTGACGTGAGTTCCTGAACATGATGCATGATGGGATGCACTTAGCCTCTGTAACGCAGTTAGATGTTATAGAAAGAAGGAGGCGGGAACCGGTGAACATTCAAAGACTTTAAATAAAATAAAGAAACAAATACAAAAACGAAAGTAAAGACGGCAGCTTCTCACGGTCGACTGCCGCCACACATAATAAAACAAAACAGCAAATAAAATAGTCCAGGCCTGGTCCTATCTCGTCCTTCACTGTCCGTCGCTCCTCCTTTTATGCTTCCGCTCCTCCGTGAGAGATACGAGACAATTCAGCGTCAGGCGCGACGCAAGTATTTTTTGCTAGTTTCAGCCCAACGCAGTTATCTTTTTCTTGTCCTGCACCACGTTGTTTAAATAGCAAATGCATTTGCGCCCATTTGTGCACCCATGGGCGCTGGTCTTAAAACGAGGTGTGTTCAGGCGCATTGTTGGCGCTTTGCTATTTTGAGGCAAACAAATAGACTGAAACCTGGTCTAAAGTCAATGGCGCAATATTTTTTTTGTTCTTTAAAGAGCGCGTCAGTAATATGCGCCTATAGGGCTGGTCCACAACGCGCGTACACTTACAGATCCATTTCCTCGCTGGAGAAGCGTTCAGTCTTTCCGCTTGCAAATGCTGCCATGTAAATAGCGAATCCGCCATGGCGTGAACACAACTGGCTTTTATAGGGAATGGGAGATGAGACTCAGATTGGTTAATTGCACGTTACGCCTCAAACACACCCATTACTCATTAAGAGAATAGGGACAACCCTTTTAGACTATGCGCCAGGTGCGCCGACCATTTTTCGCGTCGTTAAACTAGCAAAAGTGTATTCAGACACGTCCTAAGTGCACTTGCGGCGTGAGCTTTAGACCATGCTTAGATCGTAAAAATAGGGCCCATGGTCTTGTGGACATGGAATGGCTGCCGCGTGCGCCTGTCCATTGAGTCCATGAGACCGTAGGGTGTACCATTTGTCACTTTAGGTCTCAGAAAGGTGCTCGCGAGCGCCCCCTTCGTGGTCTATATGCACCCTCGATGCACACTTTTGCCGAGCCCGCACTGAAGCGAGCTCCACAGCAGTCAAAGTGCCATTACGTCACGAAAGTGCGCATTTGCAGGAAGATCGCGAGTGTTTAGGGTGCCATTTGGGACAGGGCATGAACAGACCCAAGATCACATGAGGGGAACAGGGAATCACATGACATGAGAAAGAAACATGACTATGACAAATTTCAAAATAAAAGACAAGAAAACTTGAACATGAAATCAATCCCAAACACAGACTTGACAATCAAGGATTCTGCTTTGTTCGTCACCAGTTGTTCAATTATTCAACTAAAATTTCAAAAGACAAATTTAAATAGAATATATGATACAGTATTATAGTTACATTAATGACATATATTAATAAGAATGATATCAAAAGTAATGTATACATTTTATAAAATATCTGCTTAACCCAGTTATGAAGTCACCGTAACCTAGTACCAAATGTTTCGCTTTCCATTAAAAACACATTAGCTGATGCATCATCATCCTGTACATTCTTAAGTTACATATAAATATGTCACAATTTAAAAGTAAATGCACATTGTTCTTAAAGGGATAGTTCACTTTGAAATTAATTTTTGGTATGTTTTAGCCTACCTCAAGGGCATCCAAGATGTAGTTGTCTTGGTTTCCGCAGTAGTTTCAATTTTGATATTTTTAGGTCAAACCGTTCTTGTCTGTCAGTCATATAATGCAGGTCTATGGTCACCACCTCAAAGAGCATGCACAGAGAAGTCCAAATTAAACATGATTTAATGACTCGTAAATGTAAGTACACATTGATGGCCTAAGACACGAAACGAGCGGTTTCTGTGAGAAAATGAACATTATTTATATCGTTTTTACCTCTTGTAAACACAGCCACGTCCAAGTGATCTGAGGGCGCCGGCGCTTCGGTCTTTTCCGGAAAGCGCCGGAAGTGATCTCTCGCGCGTGTACGTCACTCATTGTTTACACAGAACAGAGATTGTAGGTAAGACGGCTAATTAAAATGGTACTAATTTGCGCTTATCCGGGATGTTTAAACCGTCGTAAAAAAACAATTAAAAAAATAAAACAATTGTATGAGTGACGTACACGCGCGAGAGATCACTTCCGGCGCTTGCCGGAAAAGACCGAAGCGCCGGCGCCCTCAGATCACTTGGACGTGGCTGTGTTTACAAGAGGTAAAAACGATATAAATACTGTTCATTTTCTCACACAACCCGCTCGTTTCGTGTCTTAGGCCATCAATGTGTACTTACATTTACGAGTGCATGCTCTTTAAGGAAGTTACCATAGACCTGCATTATATGACTGACAGACAAGAACGGTTTGACCTAAAAATATCAAAATTGAAACTACTGTGGAAACAAAGACACCTACATCTTGGATGCCCTTGAGGTAAGCTAAAACATACCAAAAATTAATTTCAAAGTGAACTATCCTTTTAAGAGGGGTATCCTCCCCTATCTTACCCTACTTCATTTAATTTAATTTAATTTCAAAGCCAGATTCCAATGTGAGGTTTCAGTGCTATTGTAATATTTGAGGATCACAATTGTTGATCTTTGGCTTAATTCAAACTCAATGGAATATTAGCAGCTGGCATCACATCATTCAGACAGCTGCTCTGGGAGGATGCTGATACTTGAACGATTTCCCTCTGGGGAGGATAAAAATGTGTCAATGTGGTTTTTGAACTGCTGCTTTTAGAAAAAAAAAACCGGTCCTATTCACACAGCTGTAAATCTCAAACTTTGGCTATTCTTCTCAGCTTGTGAATCTTTATTGCCCCCTTGATGTTCGACTGTAAGTGTCCAATTTGTCTGTTTCACCCTGCAGATCAGGAAGTGTGCAGCATCACTGGAATGAAATATATAACTTTGTGGAACATCTGGCCCATAAGTTCATAAGGTAGGCAAAGACTGAGTCTTACAAAAATGTGTGTGTGTGCATGTCATTTTATGTAATCTTTTCTGCTATACTGTATGTGGATGAAAAATTCCCTGCACAAACACCACCTCTCTTAAACATGTTTAACTAAAAATATTTAGTGACTAGTTGCATCTTTAATTTCTAGTTGTCTTAATAAGTTCTGTAAATTAATTAATTCTATTTCCCTATTAACGCTGTTTCAATGGTCCACTTTAGACATTCTACAACCAGTGAGTATTTTTACAACTACATGTCTCATTAGACTATTAGTGGACTGTTAGTTTAGGGTTTGCAGAATTTAATCATGTTGAGGTTCCATCAAAAATAAAGTGTGCAGACAGTCTACCAGTCGACCGGTAGTTTGCATGTAGTTGCTAAGTTACTTAGCAGAATTTTTAAGTGTTACCAAATATGATTTTAAAACTAATACACCATTTCAGTTCATTCAAAATAGTGGAAATCTAATTGGAATCAAACTACAGTGCAGCTGAAATTTACATTGAAATAATCATTTTAAGTCAAATATACATGTTTATACATTATAATTTGTTATTGCATATAGCCCACAGTTGCGGATGTCCTTCATTGTATTCTCCGATCAGGGCAAGATTTTGATGCAGCTTACAGAAGACAGGTGAGTAAACTTTATCTCCATGATTTACCTGTTTAACTCCAGCCGTTTGCACAAACGCATTGTGATAACTTTTGCTGTCTTGAAGTGTTTTGATCATAGTATGAGTTTGTGCCAACAGAAGTTTGACAATTTTCTTACCAAAAATAAAGAAAGAAAAAAAAACGAAGGCCAAATCTGTGAGAATCGATTATGTGATAGTTAATGACCCATAAAGAACGACACGTCTGCTGTGAACATTTCCTGGTCTTGGCGATCGTCTCCGATCTTTAAAACAGAACTTCTATGACTTCAGCACGTGGCTTACAATTTCTAAAGGAAAGTCACTTTTGTGGGCTGCCAATGCCAAAATTCATTGTGACTAAGGCGTCCAGAGAAGTGTTGATTTGTCAATGATTGATTTTCAATATTATTCATGGTATCATTTGTGGTCGGTGTACGTTCGACCATTTCGTGATGTTTTCTATTTGAACAGGAATAATGATAAATCGAAAGAGGTTCATCATTTATTTTTGTTAATAACAAATGGAAAACGAGGTTTCGTCTCCATACCTCCTCCATACCTCTCCATACCTACCTCAGTTTATGGCTTGAGTATTTCATTCAACTAGTGCGGCACTGATGCTACTTTCATTTGATTGGTCAAAACGACCCCATCTTCTGTACATAATTCATTTATAAACTAAAGAGTTGGCTCGGTTTAAAGTTTTTTTTAGGTTTTTTTAGGTAAACGTTTTAGGTTCTCAAAACGTTTTGGGGCAGCGCCACCTTTTGGTAAAAAGTTATGTGGATATATATTTTTTTAAATGATTAGATTTGCCTATTGTAAGGAAACTGGTCTTAATTGGATCAATTGGATCATGCTGAGAACATAGATACCAATTTTGCCATAGTTTGCCATCATTTTGCCAAACTTCTTGTCCACCATTTTGATTTTCTTTCAAACCCTACTTTTTCGGACTCCTCCTAGATCTTTTGTCCTATTTCCGCCAAAATCGAATTGTAGAATTTTCAGACCATGCCAGCAAAAATGTTTGGATTTTGTGTCAATAGACAAAACAGTTTTCGTATGATAAGTTGATGCCATGATGCCAAAACAACTCTGAGGCTGTATTTCTGCAATCGCTTTGTCATATTGACAAACTTTGCACATGTCATTATCACCTTACTCTGACCACTCCAGATCAATTTTGTAACAGCCCACTTATTGGTCAAAGGAGATGAACCATTAAATCATATTACTAGTGATTGTATTTATGATTGTTCAGCCATTTTGCCTGAAATAGTATGTCTTTAAAGATATAGATTGAAAGTCTGGATCTGGGACAAGTGTAAAACAATAAAATATATACATAAAAAGGCCTTAATTGCTTGTTGTTGCAGTTAGTCTGATGCTCCCAGGCAAAAAAAAAAAAAAAATCTTGAGCAGCAAATCAGCATATTCTGAAGGATCATGTGACACTGAAGACTGGAGTAATAATGCATACATTTAGCTTTGATCACAGGAATAAATTACACTCAAAAAAATGATATGTTGGCTTTACTTAACTTTTTTATGTAAACAGGTTCCACCGGTTCCATATAATTATGTTTCGTTAAACAAACATAATATGTTCATGTAACTTCAACATCATGGAATTTGGTCATTTTAAGCGACCCAATTAAACTCTGAGCTAATGAGTTAATTAAGTGAATAACTGAGTGATGATTGAGCATTATTGAAGACACCTGATGTTAACAAGCAGAATCTCTGAAGGAGAAAACCGGAATGTTTAAGTCACCATTATGGAGATAAGTGTTTGTTTTAGTTGGGCTCTTGACCATTAACTTATTAACTTTAGATTTTGTTTGGTTGCTGTACATGAGTTATAACAGCCGGATGAACATTAAACAAAGGTCATCTGATGGTGTTGGTTGTGTTTTAACATAATCATTATTTCACAATCATTTGACCTGAGTCACTGAACTTATATTAAACCGAATTTCTGAGTTAAGTTAACCTTTCGAATAATAGCAACACTGTCATTGTAGAGCATACTATTTTTAGACTTTTCAATGAAATTCAAATGATCAAATCAATAAATAAAAAAGAAACTTCCTAAAAAATATTTTGAGTAGGCACACACAGACATCAAGAATCAGCCTGTGAATCTCAACAATGGTGACAATTATAAAGCATGTTGCAGTGCATTCTGGGTGCCACCAATCAAAACTCATTCATGGCTCCCATCATGCATTGCTGCATGAATAAATAATGAGCTTATGATCTGTTTGTCACCATTGCTGAGATTCATATGCTGATTCTTGATGTCTGTGTGTGCCTACTCAACATATTTTTTAAGAAGTTTTATTTTTTATTTCTTGATTTGATCATTTGAATTTCATTGAAAAGCCTAAAAATAGTATGCTCTACAATGACAGTAAGGTAAACTTAACTCAGAATTTGGGTTCAATATAAGTTCAGTGATTGAGGTCAAATGATTGTGAAATAATGATTATGTTAAATCACAACCAACACCATCAGATCTCCTTAGTTCATTGTTCATCCGGCTGTTATAACTCATGTACAGCAACCAAACAAAATCTAAAGTTAATGGTCAAGAGCCCAACTAAATCAAATACTTATCTCCATAATGGTGACTTAAACATTCCGGTTTTCTCCTTTAGAGATTCTGCTTGTTAACATCAGGTGTCTTCAATAATGCTCAATCATCACTCAGTTATTGACTTAATTAACTCTTTAGCTCAGAGTTTAATTGGGTCGCTTAAAATGACCAAATTCCATGATGTTGAAGTTACATGAACATATTATGTTTGTTTAACGAAACATAGTTATGTGGAACCGGTGGAACCTGTTTACATAAAAAAGTTAAGTAAAGCCAACATATCATTTTTTTGGGTGTACATTTATAAATATATTAAAAATGAAAAAAAAAAAGTTTTAATTTGTAGTAATTTTTTGCAATATTACTATCTTCATCATTACAAACTTTTGGCTGGTCAAACCATGTTCTCCGGAATTATGGAATTATTATTTAATTAATTATTTAATTAATTAATTATATCATTATTAATTATTGTTATTATTATTGGTAATTATGTATTTTTCTCTCTTTTTCATTGTGTGCAAATGCCAGGGACCAAATTCGTAAAGGTTTGGAGGAACTCAAGAATGTCCGGCCAGGTGGAGACACTTTTATGCATGACGGCATTCAGAGGGTGAGTGAGCCAATGGGAGCCATTTTGGCTCAGCAGTGCTTCCCACAGAGCTATGACATATAGCTCTAAATAGTCTTCTAGAAGGTAATGTTTGGCCTCTACTCAGACTGATGGACCTGTTCAGTGAAATAACCAGTCACGTTGAATGCTGTTTGATCTGCTTGAGATTACAATATGTATGATGTTTTTCTTTGTTTTTTTTACTAGGCAAGTGAGCAGATTTACTATGGTAACTCTGAGGGTAGGTCAATTTAACCACTATTTTGCTTAAAGAAAAAACTGTTTAGACCAGTTTAAGCAGTCTTAATTTTTTTTCTAATTGGTTTTATATTACTGACAGAAGATAAACTGGCTATAAACTAGTTAACCATTAACACCTAACAGGTAGACCAGTTTAACTCCATGCTAAAACCATTGGAAGTGCCCAAAACACACCTCGTACTGGTAACCAGCAACAAGATGGTCTTAATTGGTTATTTAAGCCGGTCATCAGCTTAACCAATTTAGCTGTTTCAATTTAGTATAATTACTGTTTATTCCCCTCATATTGTTCTTTTAGATATCAAAATTACTTGCTTGCTAGTTTCAGCATGTTGCATGTTGCTTTTAAAAAATGTATATACAAAAAATCAATCAAAATCTGTAATCAAGTTGCAAACGTAACAAAAATGTTGTGTCTCTGTGAAGGATACCGCACAGCCAGTGTCATCATCGGCCTCACAGACGGGGAGCTGCATGAAGATCTCTTCTATTACGCTGAGAGAGAGGTAAGAATGATGAAAGACAGGAGAAGGGGAAGAAAAGGAGTGGAGTGGTTGACAGTTCACTTTATCATAGTTTTAAAAATAGCATCTAGTGCTCTCAAATGGATTAATTGCATCTAACATAAAAGTTTGTTAACATATATATTGTGTGTGTGTGTGTGTGTACATATATATATATATATATATATATATATATGTATATACACAAACGTTCCTGTTAAAGGTATTGTAGGTAGAATTTTTTTTAAAAACTTTTTGCCAAATTTGTTTAAACTTTCTATATATATCAATGCATAATTAAAATGTAAGTACTCTGGAAAAGAGAGTATAAAAATCGAGTGTCTGTAGTCCTCTCAGGGCTGTAATAAACACAGCTACTTATCTCCATTCACTTCCACCCCCTCCATTCTGGGCTCCTTCCAAAACCACGCCCCCAAAACACATGAACGTGCGATGCCGACAGCTCACAGCTGGAGGACGCGCTTACCAGCGCCGAGCGGAGAGGAGCAGTGCATGTAGTGACATCATGTCAGACTCACATGTAATAAAATACCTAACTTTATCATTATGAATATAAACAACTAACATGGCTGTTAATACTCACTATCAAGCTAGCATATCGATACTGTTAAAGTTTAAAATATATTGAGTTTGATTCGTTAACGAGCTAGTAACATAAAGCAAAGCTAAAAACAGGTTGCATTGATACACGTTTTCCCATTACAATCAGTTACACTGTGATGAAGGTGAATTTTGTGTAAGATTCATAACATATACGCCGTGTTTTGCATGTAATTGTGTCTCTTACTAGTCTCTTACCCTCCTCGAGTCAAACGAGTGCGCGCATGTGGGCAGCGCATGTAGCAGCGGGGGTGTTGCCATGGTTGCGAGAGAGTGACAGTCGCCTAAGCCAATCCTTTGTTTCGTCCCGGAAGGAAATAATGAGCTGTGTTTAGTGCAGAATAAACGGTCTAGAGTCACTCGATTTTTATACTCTTTTTATCAGAGTACTTACATTTTAATTATGCATTGATATATATAGAAAGTTTAAACAAATTTGGGAAAAAGTTTTTTAGACCAAAAACGACCTACCCAACCTTTAAATGCGATTAATCACGGTTAATCGATTTGACAGCACTAATAATATTGTTACAGAAATAATACTTTAAAAGAATATACTTAAATGTGAACTGAATGTAATGTTTATTGACAGTTTATTGCATGTAAATGCAATTAAATCAAAATGTATCATAGTTTAAACGTATAATAAATTCAATTAGCTGAACTTCATTTGGCCCACTTAAGTAGGACTTAAGTAAGCAATTTCATAATTACTTCTATTGTCTGAAATGTGAATGTACCGACAAAGCATATATGGTAAACTAACTTTACTTTATACTTAATGTAATTTATTTAGGGTATATCATGTATTTAAATATATTTGTAATTACACATTAGAAATTAAGTTGTAATCTAGTACATTTAAAATGAGTTAGCTTTAAATATTGAATAACACACTACAGTAAAATTGTAATGAAGTACTTTTGTTAGTGCTTAACATAAGCGCACTTTTTCTTCACTGCAAAGCAACAATGTGACGCAACACTTGAGTCATCAGTGTCCCATTTGAACTTATTCGCAGACTGGGAATTAGATCGCACATTTCTTTTTTGTTCATCATCCTATAACAAGAGGGTAACAATATTACAACCTATTAACCAATTTGAACCATAGATTTGTGTAAAGAAATGAATAAGAAGTAACATAAATTTGAATTAGCATAAATCATCAACACAATTTTTACACACAAAATGTCAGCCACATTCACTGAAATAATAATGTACTGTACATCATTTTTTCACATCCCCATGTTTTGACCCAATTTTCCTCTCAGCTTCAACCAACAAAGACATTATTCAACATCTCTAATGATTCCAATTACCCAGTGTCCTCTTCATTGATGTTTAGCTTTGTCAGCCAGTGCCAAAAGCATGATCTCTGGATAAGGCAGTTTATGTCTAATAGATTACAGCTGTCTGAAGTGTTTCTGCTCTTGTGTTTCCCTTAGGCCAATCGCTCTCGCAGCCTGGGTGCCTCTGTGTACTGCGTAGGGGTGAAAGATTTCAATGAGACTCAGGTGTGTGTGTGTGTGTGTGCTGTGCACAAAAATAGATCTTGCCACTTATGCCATTTAAGTGTTACAAGGTTTCTGTAAATGATGCTTGGGCGTTTATGAATTTGCACTTGTTTAAGTAAATGCTGTATATATTTTTTTTGTAATTTATTTTTACACTTTTCATAGCTGGCCAAGATTGCTGACAGCAAAGATCATGTCTTCCCAGTAAATGACGGCTTTGAAGCTCTACAAGGTGTCATTGATTCGGTAAGTTTTTATGTATATGGTTTAATACAGTAAATTGTATTCTTTATGAAATATTTAAGTAATGTGAGAAAAGTCACACTGTATTTTTTATGATTATATAAAATAAAAAATATTATTATGATAAAATATAGCATTTTATAATAACATATTTGTTTCCATCCATTTAAAGCTGCAGTCCGTAACTTTTGGTGCTCTAGCAGTTCATAAACTGCATTTGTCTTGTGGAAGAACATTGTAGCCGGAGCTCCTTCTCTGTGTTTATGTCTATGGCGAGTCACGCAGGTACTGGGATTCTCCACAGTGGTATGACCCGTACCAGTCTAAAATAGTCAGAATATAAACACTTATTATAGGTGTACCATAGTGATTCAGGAATAAGACAAAAACACAGTTTAGTTTAGATTCATGATGTACTAGCTTATTATATACATTTTGTACATTTTGAACACACAAACTTGATTTTTGTGATTAACTTGATTTTATTATTTGTCAGAATTTCAGCTTTAAAAAAAATCCAGCATTAATATAATTCAAAGTGGTTCAAAAATGACTCATCACTGAAGTTTGTAATTTTGGTAACCACTTAAATATTTTAGTATTTTATTAATATATCTAATTTCATGTATTATTTATAGTAATTTTAGTTAAGCAATTAAATGTAAGTTTAAAATTTTAATGAGGTGATTTTTTTTCATTAATGCACTTTCTATGAATTACTTTTTGCCGAACTCAATCAATACTAATTAGACTATTTTCATAAATATCTGCCAAAAGCTTTGGTAGTATGTGATTTCAAATATATTTAGTATGTAGTATGTGATTAAAAATATATTAAATTTTTTTTTTTTTAAATATACATAACAAAATAAATTTCTGAAATGTTTCTGAAATTTCAGAAACCTTTTTTGTTATGCTGGTTGAAAGTCTCTTCACATCCTGATAGCAATCACTAAATTAAGCGGTCTAAATGTATTTATATGTATAATATATCGTCTGTTAAAGGCGCAGGACCATAAAATGTTTGTCCAATCACTGCATTAGGGGTGTCCCCGACTAAGGATTTTCATAGTCGAATCAGATTCGTCAAGTCCTGCCTATAGTCGACTAATAGTCGAATCATGTGTGTGGTGTGTGGTGTTGGGGAGGGGGCGGGGCTTTAACATTTTAAAGCCGCGATGTACAGAACATCACACAAAGATATAGAAGAAAATGTATAAAAACATTTTGGATCAATAAAACTAAGAAATAACATAAATAACTGAAGAAAGGCCACACTGCAGATAGGATTTGCATTTCACATGCAAATCAAATTAAATCGGCTGAATTGCCTGTAGGCCTACGAGCATGCTCTAAGTAGGCCTACAGCGCAACATCGATGCACTGAAAAATAATCAACAATTAAGAACACAATATAGGCCTACATTTATAATAAATAAAAATACAAAACGAAATAAGTCAGAATCAAGTCACAAGAAGCAGAACAAATGTGTGCAAAATGCCTAAAGTGCAGGGGAACAAATATTCAAAACACAAGTCACAAATAGTTAAATTAGATCACCCTGAGTGATCAATTAATAAAATAAAATAAAGAAATTATTAAAATAACGAAAGTATGGCCAGGATTGTCAACTTTGTCTTTTTAACTGCAGAAACAACAATAAACGCTAAACTGGAGCGGCAGTCTTTTTAGCTAAACGTGTTCACAGTATCCAAAAATCAAATTAGAACCGGCTGAAATGTTTTGAAATCACTTGTACCCATACCTGATCGAAAAAACAAAATCCAGTCTTTCACTCGGCCTGTGTCCGTTTGAGTCTTTTCAAATTGTGTGCGCGGATAAAATACATTCTAAAACGCTTAATGGCTTTGTCCTAAAACTGTTATAATAAAAGATCAAATTCTGTACACACCTTATTAATAAAGCATACTATATAGCCTACTACAGAAAAGCAGATGAGCCCAGAATATGAACGCAACGCGTTTTATTATAGGCTACGTTAAGCATTTTCCTCCCATAGAAACCCGTTAAAGAAAAAGCTTTACGTGACTTTCTATAGGAGAAACACGTTGCGTTCATATTCTGGGTTCATCTGCTTATCTGCACATAGAATGGTTTCTTAAGGTGTGTAGCCTACTGTGTACATAAGCACGTAAAAGTGCCATTTAAGCGTTTTAAAAGCTTTTTTCACGTTAAGCGTTTTAGAACGTCCCGAGGAAAACCAACCTGTTAACGTTGGCCGGCAGAATTGCGATCATGGTTTTCCTGATGCTAAATCCAGCCTTGGAGAAAATCCTTTCTGATGGTGTGCATCTTTAGATTTTCTTATCCCAGACATTTTTAAAGATTTAAATCCCTGCCGACAAGACGCTCCTCTGTCGGTCACGGATCGAAAGTGAAACTTAAATCTGTCACGGGGTGTTTGGATTTATTCACGCTGCACGCACGTTAAAAAATATTTATTAAAAGCTTCTTTCTTTGCACATTTTTATTGACAGCATTATCATAATAGGCTGTATATTAACGTATTGACAGAAAACCAGTAGTTCTATGTGAAATCAGACATTGAGCACACTCATATAGCCAAAATGACATAATCCTCGTTTAATAACACATCTGCGAAGATTCGACCATGAGATTGGTTGTCGAATCAGGCTCCTCCTATCGAAGCATCGAATCTTCGACTATTCGGGGTCACCCCTACACTGCATTCAGTCAGAACGCGTCTCTCGTGACTCTTTTGTTTGCTCCTTGCTGTACGCGTTCATGTGTTTTGAAGGACGCGTGGCTTTGTAGACTCTCTGAAGGGATGTTCGAAAAAATGACCTACCCTACCTTTCATGGCCATCACTGGAGAAAGATGCATTTACCAGCAGGGTCTAACAGGGCCATGCCAACAAGCCAATCCTTGACCCCTTGGATACAAATTACCATAAGAAACAGCCTAATGATGAAAAAACAATAGAAGAATTAAAGAAAAAACAAAGAATAACAAACCAGAATAATCATTGAGTCCCAACTGAAGATGACGGATTGTCTACAGTATCCGAATTCTAACAAAGACCTGCCATGCCCTGCCTGGACCTCTTTGATCCCACGGTCCGCTGGAGTCTGCCCAAACACGATCAAAGCCTCTTCACAGTGTCCTTTCTTTTTGCAATGAAAGCTAATGATTTATATTTCTTAAGCTCTGAAGGTAGAAGAAAAGAGGAGATATTTGGGTAAAGACTCGTCTCGCCCATGCAGAGGTTGTCTGTTTCATGAGCTGAGACTGGGGTCAGTCCAGCTGGCCTCCATCTGCTCTCAATTAGCTGCACGCTGAAAGCTCTTGGCTGAAGCTCAGGAGAAGAGTGTCGTAAATCAGCAGGGACCTTGGGATCTGAAGGCACACTTCATAGATGACAGAGGAAGGCGGCAGTCATGTAGATCAAAACAATCTCGCCACACATAGGTGCTGGTATGGCTGATGAAGGCTATTTCCAGGACGAGAGGAAAGAGACGGAGAAAGCAGATGTACATTTCAAAACACAAATACCACATGAGGATTGTCCCGTTGAGGCACTCGCTGGAGAGGTGTTGCTTCATTTGATTGGTGGATCCTTCAAGATAAAATAAACGTATTCTGAAAAAAAAGCGGAAGGTCTTCTCTACTAACTGTTTGTTTTATGAATTTAAGGGAATGGAATTGAGTTAGTTTTAGTAGGTAAGCTAACCTAGTTCTTTACCTGCTAAATATCTTTGTACCCACCAGATCTTGAAGAAATCATGCATAGAGATTCTCGCTGCAGAACCTTCCAGTATCTGTGCTGGAGGTGAGTACAATTCTGTTTAATATAATTCAATTCAATTCAAAGCACTTTATTTGTCCCCAGGGGGAAATTTGAAGGGCACATTACAGTAGCTTGCACAGGCACACTGCACAACCACACACTACATACCACATATCATTATACATAAATAAAAAATTAATCAGAATGCGAAAAAAAGAAAAAAAATGCACATAGAAATAATTTGTTCCTATTAATGTTCATAAGCTGGACAGCCCTCGGGATGAAGGTTGCTTTCCTCCTGTGTGTCCGAGGAAAGCAACCTTAAGCCACAGCTTCAAGGTTTTTGCAACAGTAGCGAACAATCCTCCAGACTAGTAGGTTTGATTTAGTTTGATCAAAAGCCTGGAAGTGAGGTTTGTTTGTGTTTGAAAAATATTTTAACATCTAAAAAAAAAATGACACACCTTACTGATTTACACACCTTTAACAAAGTGGATTTATATTATACATTACTTGGTAATACTTTTGATAGTCCAACATTCTACTTACTATAAGTAACTTGTCTACTATGTCAACTAACTCTCTTTAGAGTATTAGTAGACTGTCTGCTTAATATCTGCTAAAACTTTACTTTGCTGCTCCCCAACAGACATTCTACTGACTTCGCAAGTACTTACATAACACCATTTTCAACTAAAAACGGATCCCCTTTTTATTTACACAACAGTTCAATTGGTGAAAGCCATATTGCATGTTCAGTTTATAGTGTTTTTGTACAAGGTGACAACGCCAACTACTGGCCTGGCAGCAGAATACAGCGTTTTAAGTGGTTTTCCCGGAACCCTGTGAATGGGCATCGTTTTAACAACAATGTCGTCTGTATGCGTAAATTGCAAAGGAAAAACTTCGATTTTTAGTACATATCTCTCGTGTAAACGTACACTTTACTACCCTAATACTCTAAATGAGAGTTAGTTGACATGTAGTTGAAAAGTTACTTATCATCAGTAGAATGTCTGTTGGGGAACATCAAAATAAAGTATAATGTCTAAAGTGGACTATCGAAATAAATTGTAAACCATTACTTAAATATGCTAATAAGGAGGCTGAAAAGGCACTTAAATTCAATTAAAAACAACATGTAATAATATTTAGTAGTAAGAACAAATAATTTCCCCATGCAGATTTTGCAACAGACCTTTTTTGCTTGTGAAATTTTGCTAATGTCACCACACCTTAAAGCAAAATATTGATGATGTTATCATATATTATGCTTTGCACCATAACATTTCTTTGTCCTTTAGAAAATGAATCTTAAAATAAAAATTGTATTGATGGCTCTGATAAGTGCTTTTCAAAATTTGCCACATGATTTAACATTGTTATATGTTAACTTCCTGTTTTAAAGAGGCATTCCAAGTTGTTGTTAGAGGAAATGGATTTCTTCATGCTAGAAATGTGGAGAAGGTTCTTTGCAGCTTCCGAATAAATGACACCCTTACCAGAAGTAAGTACAAATCAAATTCTAGCAATTATTTAATCACCCTCACATCGTTTTAAACCTGTATGCTGTTATTTTTTCCATGGAACGCAATTTTAATTTTTTTTGGAATCGTCGTCTTCATTTACAGTTCATAGTGACCATGGACTGTCGATCTACTAAACCATAGTGCACCATATAGTGTACAAAATTCTGCAGGCATGCAGTAGCTTTGTGCGGTGAACAGACCTGAAACAGACCTTCTGAAGCTTTAAATAAAATGTAGACTTTTATGTAAACGTTATTGGTTTTCTATGGTCTTGTAACTTGTGCAATATTTGAGTTGTTGGTGAAGACTAATAGGGATTTAAGTTTCAGTCTGTTCCTCACTTTGGTAGCTTTGAACTTTGAAATGGAAAAAAAAAATAGTTTTCCACAGAAAACAGAAAGTCATACAGGTATGAAACGACGTGATTTTTCATTTTTGGATGAACTATCCCTTTAAGCCCACAAGGCTGAATTGGTTGCTTACATACGTCTTGTATTACAAAGATCATGTATGCGGAACACATCACTGGCTCGAAAAAGTCTACTAAAAAGGGGGTGAAATGTTATGTGGGATTACAGCAGTCTTATATAAGACATTTCCGTGACTTCCTTGCGTCATTATCATATGGTTGGAATGATTTGAGTCAGAATCTATAAACCCTTCTGATTAGCTATCATTTTTCCACCGAATGTCCCGGCAGACTCGTTTTCATAGAAACCCTGGAACGACCGACCAAGCCAAGACAAATACCAGTCTCATTTGTTTGTTTTTTTGCTAATAGCTGTTTTTAAAGGCTACATTAGGAGTTTTACAGGATGGATTCCTGCCAAATGAAGGAGATATAAGAAAGATACACTGCCACACAAGAGGCTAACAGAGTTTGCAAAGCCCGTCAGGCAAATGTCAGCTCAACCCCTTGCAGTTTTTACTGTAGGTCTCGTCTTCAAACAGGATATGCATCCTTTCTTGTACACTATAGTGTTGCAGAGCCTGGCAGATGAGCCAATGGCACGATGAAATTAACTCTATTCGTTCCAGCATTTTTGAAAAAATTTATCGCAGTTTTCATTTTCATGTCATGCGCCACGTTGTTTAAATGGCAAATGCATTTGCGCCCATTTGTGCGCCATGGGCACTGGTCAAAAAACGAGGTGTGTTCGGGCACATTGTTGGCGCGTTGCTATTTTGAGGCAACTGAAACCTGGTCTAAAGTCAATGGCGCAATATTTTAAATATTTAAAGAGCGCGTTTAATAATACAATGTGCGTACACTCTGCTTATTACACACACAGGGAGGCAGCAACACACAAACATGCCAAATATAAAAAATAAAAGGATTACAATGTACTGTAAAAGATTAATATTGTGTACACAAAGATATGGTGGAATCCGGCTTGTCCCAGATGGTCTGCTTGAGCTTTAAATTCAGTCTTTCCGCTTGCAAATTCCGTCATGTAAATAGCGAATCCACCATTGCGCGGGTGCAACTGGCTTTTAAAGGGAATGGGAGATGAGACTCTGATTGGTTTATTTCACGTTACGCCTAAAACACCCATTACTCATTAAGAGAATAGGGATAACCCTTTTAGACCATGCGCTGCACGCCGACCATTTTTCCCTTCGTTAAACTAGCAAAAGTGGATTCAGACACACCCAAGTGCATTTGCGCCCTGCGCTTTAGACCATGCGCTTAGATCGTTAAAATAGGGATATGATAGAAGATGCCTAATAGCGCCCCCTACCGTATAAAAATTCCGGCGGGGAAAGAGTTAAACTAGTATGCAGAACTACTCTATGGCAGTGAATCTCAATTGATTTTTGCTTCAAGCTATTTCGCACGAATTTGTACGATTTGTATCATATGATTTTTATAAAAAGCAACCTCCCCTAGCCCCACCCCTGAACATTACCGTCACTGGGGTTTAAGCGGATTGTAAAAAAAATTATGAATGTGATCATACGAATTAGCCACCAAATCGGCAAAGTGTAAAATAGTTTCAAATTGCCGTGAGATTGTGTTGGTGGCAACATATTTTACACTCTCAGAACAGACCTGAACAGACCACTTGAGAACCTTTACAATAAGCTTTGCCTTTACAAAAATAAAGAGATGTTTTCTGCTAAGGTTCACATTTGTCCCATCAATGATGGCACAAATCAATTACTAAGGCAGTTATGCAAAAGATGTGAAAGCATTGTATATTTAACAAAATCTGCTGTTAATTGCCTGGCAACTTTCCTTTTGAAGTTAAACTATTGAAGTGCAAGTGATTCAGTGTTGACATTTCAAATGCTGCGATTGTGTAATGGTATTAAGCCTTCAGGGAGTGTCTTATTTGATCCAAACAATCGTAATTTCATTAAAATTGGCACTGGATATGAGATCAAAGCCCAGTCATCTGCCTGCAATCCTATTTTACAGTATCAGTAATAGGTACCAGCTTTGGTGCTTCACATCTTGCTTGTCTTTGCTTTGATTAAAGCTGGACTTTTCAAACTAGCAGCATGCTAATTGTTTGTGTCCGACAAAGACCAGAACATCCGGTTGATGAGTGTAGCTGTGTGATGAAAGTAATTTGAAAAAAAAAAAAAAACAGCAAGAAAAAACATTTTTCTGTCCACCCTTCAGCAAACCGGCCCCACTTTCCCATCCTAAAGGCACATTTTCAGACCTGCAGCAAATTTACTCTGACTTTGCGGAGGCCTGCTGTTTATTTACTCTTGACCACTGTAAACACTAGAGAGAATATCCTGTCAATGAATAATAATGTGCATCATACACAACCTGTTCTACTTACTTTGAGCCCAAGGCTGATTGCAGGCTGTCGGAAAAGAACCCCGTGTGGTTCCAGCGTGTTTAGCTTCTGACTTTCAGTCGTAGCTCTTGAAGTTGCCCAATTTGCATAATATGTCTCCTAATTAGAATAGAAGATTAGTATTAATGCATAAAATTGTAGTATTAAATAGTATGATATAGGCGCTTTGAATGTATACAGTGTCATAGTGTAGCCTACTAATGTGCATCTGTGCATGCTGATTGGGCTAATATTGCCCATAGGAAAACAGCTAAGAGAGTCACGGCAAATTTGACATCTTTCTCTCTTCTGACCAATGTAATCAATCTCTAATATTTTTTCCTTATTTGTAAAGTCATAGAAATGCAAAACTGTTTTCTGAGAACTTCTGAGAACTCTAAAATGTGAAAAGGGTCCATCAATTATTTTTTATGTGCCATTTAGCAGTGAATAAATCTTAATTAGCTGAAATCACAGTGTGGAAAAAAGTGAACAGATGCACAAGAAATGAATGAAAATGTATGTGAGCAATTAGGATGGATACCACTTACTTTGCCAATCCAGAAACGGCTTCTTCTTCAAAGGTTTTTGCTTGTGTGTAGCATGAAACTGACGGCCAGTGAATGGACTGTGGGCGGTTTGCGGGTGTCTAGTGTAGCTGTCCTTTACTTGCATTTCCTTTCTTTAACCTCAAGGAAATTCTCAAGCAATTAGATGTTTGCATAATAAGCACATGAGCTGTTGAATTCACCCCTTAGGCTTGAGCCCAGTGCAAGCTATTTCCCTCTCTAAAGGCTCAGATGCAATTTGGTACCAACAGTAATTCTTATTGATTTATCACGCAAGTCGAAACCATGTGCACATGTCTTTACTTAGTAGTAAAACATGACTTTCCCTCATATGCTATGGGTAAACAGCCCATTAAAGCACAATGACAACAGGATCCTCTGCCAGAATTCGAATTCTTTGGGATTTGAGTCAACCGCCTACACCAACAAACAACTTCCTACAGGATAAAGGGAAAAGCAGTAGTGTCATATTTGTCTCTTGCTTTGGCTGTGTCAGGTGCTAAAGCAACAATCGACCTCCTGTCCATTTGATTTCTTGCAGTGGTGCAATGGCAATATACAAAATCACAAAGTTGCAATTACAAGAATGTACCTTGACATCTTCAATCATTCATTGTTTTTGGCCTCCTCTGGCTTCTCAGTCCTCAGGCCTTTGACAGTCAGAGGCTCCGGAGCTCTGATCCCATTTCTCCTGTTTTGCAATCCGTGGCCTTGCTAAATGCCTTGCTTAAGAGCCCAATGCTGAAAGCTCATGGGAAGCTTCTAGTTTAGCCCTGAGCATTAGCCACTACTAGAAGCAGTGCACGTTACATTTAAAGGTTAACATTCAAATCCAAGCTTATAAAAATGTAGTGGGTAGTAAAAATAAAACAAGTAAAAGTTAAATGCAGTCTGTCATCATCTAACCTCTTACACAACAAGCAATCAAACAAAATAAATATGATGACTTTTAATGCAGTGTTTTCCAGATTTGCCGTTTGAAATGTTAGTCTGCATTTCTGTCAGGGCCACTATCGTCAAATACGGTTGACAAATAGCATACAGTTTGGATTGGCGGTATGGTTCTGTTCTGGGCGAGAACTCCCTGCGAATTCATGCAGCCATAGCATGGATAAGAGCAGGGAGAGCAGCAATAAAACAGAACAGAACCAACATGAATGTATTGCAGATATCCATAATTCAAGATTTTAAAGTACAACATGATTCGAGAATTTATTCTGATTCTAGGTAGCCTGGGAAAACCCAGACAACTACCGGCAAATTTAGATTTGCTCTGCAAGTTAATGATTTGCTCATTCAAGCCCATTTCCAATCCGTCGAAATCGAGGCACCAATCAGAAACGTTGGGGCGGGCTTTACACGATGACGACAGCGCTGGGATTTTGAAGCAGATTTTGTAGCCTACATTACAAAGATGGATCGAATCAGCTATCGCGTCTGTTTTAAGCGATTTGAACGTTACCTTTTTGTTAAAAACCGAGCAAAGAACAACACTCGGAGATGTTTCTCCACCGCTCTGCATACGTCATCTCCTTCATCGCTCTGATTGGGTTTAGGTCTATCCGCGACGTCCTTTGGTGATGCCCCTCTGGAAATGAGTTGTCTATGACGCTTTGCCAGACCATAACTCAGTTACAACTGAGAATGGTCTGGTTTTAACCAGGCTAGATTCAAGGGGAATCAGAATGCCAAACTGACTGACGACAGGAGGAGCTGGGGATGGAGGAGGGTATTAGCTCCTGAGAAATGCGATAGCTGCTGATAATACTGAAGGAGCTTATACGTATACAGTGGGTGAACGTCATTTCACCAAGTACCACATGTTCCTGGATCAACATCTTTGTTGATCCTGGATCAACTTTCCAATCAACCAAATCAGATTTGAGGGACAAGTTTACAGTTTATGTCAAGTTTAGGCTTAGAACCAGGGTGAAGTACTTAAACATCAGTGTTATTCACCTATCATTACCCTCTGATTTTAGGGAAAAGTTATGAGTAGGGTTAGATTTAGGGCTAGGGATTGGGTAAGGGCTACATTTTGGGACAGGAATGTTGATCCAGGATCAATTATGTTGTCCAGGACCATGTCTTACTTGGCAAAATCACGGTGACCAGGTAGACGTGTATCAGCTGAGAGTCAGCTGATGCGAGCTTGACTAACGTGACCTGCCAGAACTGACGCTACTCTAAATTTGTCTTTTTTATTAGTGGTGAAGCCATTGATAGTGGAGGACACGTATCTACTGTGCCCAGCTCCTGTTCTTCGAGAGGAGGGAACGTAAGTGTCCCAGATACACCTTTTTGCATTCTTTCTAGTTGCAGAATTTTAACTTTGGCTTCACTCATGACGGAACGTAATATACTGTTTTCAAAAGACTTAAGAAATTATTTCCATGTGAATTGCAGGGCAGCCTCCCTTTATGTTAGCATGAACGAAGGCCTGAGTTTTATCTCTAGTTCTGTTACTATCACCACTGTAAGCTGTGTAAGTATTATTCTAAATTATCTTTCTTTATTTATGTTTTGTGTTTTTGTTTTTGACAACCAATGTTGGGACAGCTGCACTACTGTTGAAAGGTTTGTAGCCAGTAAGATCTTTATTTATTTTTTTGAAACAAGAGTCTTATGGTCAACAAGGCTGGATTTATTTCAAATAAATTAAAGTAAACAGTTATATTGTGAAATATGAATAACTTTTAAAATGACTATTTTCTATTTTAATATATTTTAAAATATTATTTATTTATTTATTTGATGCGAAGCTAATTTTCAGCATCATTACTCCAGTCTTCAGGGTCACATGATTCTTCAGAAATCATTCTAATATGCTGATTTGCTGCTTTAGAAAACATTTCTGATTAGTATTATTTGATAGAAATGGTTGGGAAAACTATATGGTTAGGAAAAGAGGTTGGTTTAGGGTTAGTTACATTTAAGTATGCATCATTTATAGTTATTAATACAGTAACTACATGTAACGTGTAACAAGGACACTGTAAAATAAAGTATTACTGTTTTTTCAGTGTTCTTTGATGAAGGAAAGTTTGGAGAACAGCGTTTATTTGAAATAGAAATATTATGTAACATTTTAAATGTCTTCACTGTCAATTTTGATAATTTAATGCGCCCTTGTTGTATAAAAGTAGCACTTTGTTAAAAACAAAAAAAAATCTGACCCCAAATCGGTATTGTATCTCTAAAATTAGCTATCTACATCAAAGCTGTTTTAAAGGGACAATATATTTTAAAATATAACTTTCAGATTATACAAAACAGTTTAGGAAAGTGTATTTTACATTAAATGACAATGTGACATTATTTTGTCACTGTTTTTTATTTTGTTTCCAGTGATGCTAATGAAACTGTACTGATACACGTTGGAAGAAGTCTTAGTTACTCCGCACCACTGGTAATCACAATGGATTCTCTAGCTAACAGTCATGCATTTTAGCTTTTGAAAATTAATCAGTAAAAAAAATTGTTAAAGGAAAATAACAGGGTCCAACTACAGTCTGCAGGCTGGGAACTTTTGCAAAGAAAGGGAAAAAAACCTATTCATTAAAAGGATTTCTGGAATGTCTGATGCCTGTAAAGTGATGCCAGTCAAAGCTCTTTAGAAGAGCACAATATGCTTCCCGCCAGCCAGAGAGTCAATGGGTTATGAGATCTCCCAGTGAGATCACTTGTAACTTGGTTCAACCCCCTCGTTTATTAACCATCTCTGTCGACATGCATCATCTGTTATTTTCACAGCTAGCACCCTTATATGGAGCCATTGTTTGAACTGGAGGTTGAAGGACTGACTTCATTGTTTTGTTCCATTGCATTTTCCAAATGTTTTTCTGCATGTCATTTGGAACTGATGTGATAACAAAAAACGGTCCCAGTCAGAGTGGTGTTCATCTGCTCCTCCCTGCAGTCTGATGGTACGATCCTGGCCATAGCGCTACTGATAGTGATGCTACTGCTGATTCTGGCTCTCCTGTGGTGGTTCTGGCCTCTCTGCTGCACTGTGGTGAGTCCTCTGCGTGAAACAGCTCAACCTCTGTGCTAGTTTACTCAGAAGTGCTGCTACATATTAGGACTTACACCCAAATCTGCATCTGCAGAATTACACAGAAAACTCAATGAATAGATGAATGTGCATGTGCTCGGAGAACCCACTATGGAATCAAACATCTGGAAATAAAAAAACAATGGAGAACAAAAATTTGCGAAGTATTCCTCAGATGCCATGTTCGTTATTTACAAGGATAATCTCAATAATAATCTCGAAATGATTAACTAGCAGAATTATTACTCTAAAACCTGCCTGGCGTCATTAACGGCAGTTCTATATTGTTGAACCAACAGATTTTTGACAAAGTTTCTAAGGTTTCGGGAAACAATTGCGACTAGCTAGCTCTCCAATGATGTATAATACTATGGTAGTTATTCAGTTGTTGTATAGGAAATGCACCCCTGGACTACACACATTTCTGCTAAATCTTAGAAAGGTTACTACGGATAATAATCACTGCAGTTTCCTGGTGAAATGACCACAAGTGACACTAAAAGCAGAATGACTTTTACTCCTAAGTTAACCAACAAACACAGTCTTCAATCAGTAATAATAAGTGTGGCCACAATAAGCTATTCATCAACTTGTTTTTCCCATCAGTTTTATTCACATTCCTCTCCCTTTGTTTGCTCAGTTACTAAATAATTTGAGTAATTTGTTAATAATAAACAATAATCAGCTAGCATTAGGGGACCGTTCACATAAAATGCATTTTTGCATTTAATATGAAATGCTGGGGAAAAAATTGCAAGGTTTAGAGAAGTTTTTTTTTAAATCGAAGTTCTTTTAACTTGAACGTCGTGTTTTTTTAGGATGCTGTGTCATGCTCAAGAGACGGTGCAAAAGATGCAATATGTGAGTGTACTCATCCATCTAGCAAATTTACATAGAAAAACTATGAAAAGTAGCATATTGGAATTGCTATTCTTAGAACAGGACTAAGAGTTTAGTACTTTAATACTACCATTTCATAGATTCGATCAGATTTCCCCCCACAATCTGTGAAAAAAGAATGTGTGGGCCTATTTATTGGTTGGAAAACTATAAAAAAAATGTAAAATCTCATTATTTTCCAAATAAGTGCACAGCCATGGTTCTTATGTTATGAGGTAACTGAGAATGAATCAATAACAATTTGAGAAGATTTACCTTTGGTTCTTGCCATGACCCTTCAGGTTTGTTGACCATGTAATGAGCCTTTCTGTTGCTAACCTTAATTCCAGTACACTGTGTTTCCAGACACTATGTGCAGGTTGTGTTAAGTTAGTTTTCATGCCCTATTTGTTCTGTAATGACTTGTTAAGCCCCAACTGAGTATATTAGACCCACACAGGGTCAAGGCCACCTGGGATTTATGAACAGATTCGCCCGACAACTCTTGGATATAATGTCACCTTTGAACTCTCAAGGTCAAATGTCAATTGTGACTTTCCTCATCACGTTTCCTGCAGAGGTGCAGATGTGGAACCTTTTTTACAACAAAGAAAGTTTCAATATAAAAATGTAGAGATGATAAGAGAAAAAAAAAAAGAATAGTGTGAATTAGGGGTGGGTCAAAATGGTTGATAATGTGACTAGACATCCAAAAACAATATCCAAAAATTATTGTTGATTAGTGAGGTTGACTTGTACTGTTCGATTTTTTTTTTCTCATTGTGACCAGACCGAGATCAGAAGACTGTCAAGTTTGAGTCAAGACAGAGTCCACATGCACCCAAGTCCATGTGCCAGCCACTGCTGGCGTTATTCTTGCTTAACCTAACTTGAATCACAAGTTCACCCCTACATATAATCGGAAATAGTTAAAAGTATGCAAATTTGTGAGGTGGTGGAGGGATGCTAGAAAACTGTTGTGGAATAGAGGTAAGTTGGCTATATATATCTTGATATATACTATATCAAGATATAGGTCATAGTGGATAAGAAGGTATACTATATATATCTTGATCTTGTCATGGACTCGGGAGCATGTGGACTCGGACTTGATGCTCTTCTGGTCTTGGTTTTAACTCTGACTCAAAGTAGCTGGTCTCAACTACTGGGTAATGCTGCTCTTCTACTAGTGTAACTGCAGCCTCTAGCGTGAGTTGCTAGCGTGCCTCTTAACATTTACCTGCACTGCTCTTACCAGCTGGCCTTCGTTACACTGTGTTTACAACAGACGTGAGCTGCGCAACATAAAAAAATAATAATAATAGAACCCATTATAGTAAGTGATGCTGTCAACACTGGGCAGATCGCAATGCAACACGACAAATCCCCAACAATAAATTGATGCCCCATTCTATTTCTGACAAACTCAAAGCATTTGCAATACTTATGACCCGTAGGACAAATTCATTTGCAATGGTTGCTTTGTTGCCTCCAGCATAGACCCAGTGTCACCCTCTGAAACTTCACTCCCATCCGTGTCACAGCGCCATTGTATCTGGTCAAAGGCAGACACACCATCAAAGGTGCTAAAAAGCTTACCTGTATACTAGTTGGCCTTTTTTTACACTAGCACAAGCTGGTTAGAAGGTCATTGTTGCAGGTAAACTAGCTTGACCAATGTAGCCATGATGGTGACTAAAACCAGTCGAGTCAAAAGCAGCATGAAAGCGCCTAAAATATACCTCATACTGGTCAATAGGATGGTTTTGACTAGTAATTTAAGATAATCAACAGCAGAACCCAAGATGGTCTTGGCCCGAGATGCCAAATCCTGCTCCTTGAAGGCCACCTTTCTGCAGAGTTTAGCTCCAACCCTAATTAAACACACTTGAACCAGAACAAGGTGTTGGCTTAGAACCTTTCAGGCAGGTGTGTTGATATTCTGCAGGATAGCATCAGACAGGGGTGTCTGATGCTATCCTGCAGAATATCAACACACCTGCCTGAAAGGGTCTAGGCAGGTTTTCCGCAGGGTACAATTTGACCTATAGATCTTACAGAGATTAAACATTTTCTACAGGACATTGTGCTTCCACTGCTTAAAACCCTAGCCTGGCCTTTTTCTTGATTTCTGGGGGACATATAATAATTTAGACTGTCAGTGAGGTCCAACTGAGGAATATCAGAAGAACTAGACAAGTCTGGAATTTGTCTGGAAAGTCACAACAGGAAAAGAGAAGAAATTAGTCATTGCCATGTTAGAGGAGTGTGGAGCCCTGGAGTGAAGTTCATGGAAGGTTGAACCAGCTAAACCAACTAAAATCCTGCTCAGCCACAATTAGTTTCCATAGAGACCAACTGTTGGCTATCATGGACCAAATTAGCATTAGCTTATTGCTACGTTTAAATAGCTTGGCTTTATTTATTAACACAAGTTCTTTTAGATTTTAAAAACCATGTGTGTTAGTCAAGTTCAATCCTGCTCGGCAAAATGCATTATGAAATGAATATTATTACAAGTCTTGACCAAAAATACGGAAAAAGACTTGTCTGTCTGCCACTTGAAATCTCTCCGGGGAACTTCAAGGGGGCACGGCTCTGTTTGGGAAATGTTATCCTGTGTTACCATGGGAAATACAATTGTGATTTGACCTCTAAAATAACAAGGAGGAATAGTGCCCATTCTCAATTTCATTAAGATCTATTGATTGCCAAGTAGCCTAATGCTAGCATTTTACTGGAGGTACAGAGCCATATTTGCAATGCGACAAAACAAAACTGGAATGCTTCCTCTTTAATAAATAAAGCTGTTTTCACTGTAGGATAGCCAGTATATGAAACACACTGTATATTTCAATGCTGTGTTCAAGTCTTTCTGGGCAGTTTCAACCTTCAAATTCAGAAATTTTATTTACAACATAATGTAAATTTGCATGTAATAAAAATGAATGTGTTGGAAAATTGTTTCTTTTTTTAATATCTCAACAAAGACAAGAAACTTTGTAGCACTACAAAATAAAGAGTAATTGTTGTGCATTTGGTTACATTTTACTTTATCTGTATTCAATCCATCTCAGCCAACAACAATTGTGGGTAGATTTGTTGCACAAGCTTGTCTTAAACTACTGTAGCTAAATGAGCTGTATTAAAATAAGCTTTATTGCTGATCTTCATCAGCAGAATATATGTGTATAAAACTAAATGGTACATCAACATTCATGACAACATTTTCAATAACAGTTTCCTTCTACCATTAATTCTTTAATTGACACCCTATACCCTAACTCGGAAACTGGGGGCTTAAAAAAAACATTTCTCACTGGTAATTACAACTTTATGAACAATAACCAGAGGAGTCCAACAGAGGAGGGAAAGAGGGGGCTTAGGAGGTGGGCGCAGGGACAAGCACAGGGGCCATGGTGGACTAAACAACGGAAGGAACCAGGGCAGAGATGAGGGTTGGAGAAAATGGGGTGGAATCCCTTGCAGGTACCCCAGGACTAAAGCCCAAGGCAGAGTCGAGTGAGGAGTCGTGGTGGAGACTTGGCAGACGGAACCAGGTGGACTACCAACCAAGATGAAGCCAATGATGATGGAGACTCAGGCAGAACCAAAGAGTCCAGGCAACACTGAAGGTCCTGGAGACCAAGGCGGAGCCAGGGTGCCGGAGGACTGAGACGGAGCCGGTGCGCCCAAGGGCTGAGGTGGTGCCGGAGGGAAGATGGAGCCAAAAGGGTGGAGGGACAAATCGCAGCTGAAGGCCCGGAAGTCCAGTGAAGGCAGAGCGACGACTGACCAAGGTGAGGCCGTAGGGACGAGGAAGCCCGGTGGAGCCGTAGGGACGACGGTCCCTGGTGGAGCTGAGGGAGCGTTGAGCCACAATGGAGCCAACAGGTCAATGGCCCGAGGTGGAGTGACAGGCACGGAGGTTCTAGGCGGAATAAACAGGTCGACAGTCCAAGGCTGAGCTGGCAAACTATCAGCCCATGGCGGATCCACGAAGCACCGAGCTGGTAACATAGGAGCAGACGAAGGGCTGATGAGAGGCAGTGCAGGCAGGGCTGAAGGATTGGGCAGTGCAGGCAGGGGTTTCACAAACAGTTTTCCTGACTGATACGGGACAGACAGAAATCTCAGGAACGACCCTCTTGGTGGACGAGGAACAGGCAGACATTTCAGGAACACCTCTCTTGGCCGACTTGGAACAGGCAGATGAGGTTGGAGTGGGAGGCAGGGCAGGAACACCAGCATCAATAACTCGGTACTGGGTGACGAAACAGGCTCGGTGCTATTATCCTCCATATCCTCAAACACACTCGCCTTAGCTAATGGGATGGGGCTCCACTCCCTCCCCTCATACTCCACCAGTATTTCCTCAGTGACGGATAATGTGGTGGCAGGTGGCACAAAGTGCACAGCGTGGGCTGTAGTGTGGCGATCCTCCTCCATCTCGCCGATGGTAAAGAGGGACCCACATTACAAAGCTTCCTCGAGGAAAAACAAATACAGGCTGTCGTCGTCATAGTGGACAAGGTGGCATAAATCCAGGAAGGCCTGTCTCTGTCTCTCGAGGGTGTTGTCCCCCAGGGAGAGGAGGAAACAAATTGTCGCTAGATGGTCTGTCCTTCTGTCTACTATGGTTGCAAAATAAATATGAATGAACGGATCTAATAGCAGCAGTTTTAGTTTTATTATCAAAGAACTCCAGACTAGAAACACGAACAGAACAACCATGTAAAAAGCGACGAGAACTGACCAAGAACTGAAAGAAACACACGGCTTAAATAACCAGAAAAACTAATCAGTGGAATGAATAACAGGTGCGCAAATAAGTCAAACAATGAAAAACTATGTAAACTAATCGAAAACTAGGACACAGAACTAAAACACGTGACAAACCCACCTAAAACCAGAAAATCCCTTACACTTAGTGGGGTGAGAAAAATAAACTTAAACTCAAAGGGAGTTATTTTTCTTAAACCACGGCAGATATTTTTTCTTGTTTAATCATAAACATTTAAATTTGATAATTTTTTTCAGAAAATAACAATGTCTTAAATAGTTTTATTTTGATTTAAGAATTGTTAGATATTGGTAATGTAAAACAAAATAGAAAATATTTTTTTTGCAGTGTGGTGTTGTCCCTATGCTCTCACTCATAAATACGATCATCCTGATCCCTGACAACACTAAATCACAGAAAGAGACCACAGAAATGTTTATACAAACACTCAAATTAATCAAATAATGTCCCCTTCAGTCCAAAGAAAAAGCAAAAGAGCTGGATTTATTACTACACTCTGGAATTTTTAATGTCTCTATCCTTGAAATGTTTTTCACATGATTCCCAGAATTTCCTGAAAATTTCCAGATGAGTTTTCAAAACAATAACAACATGTGCTCTTTTGCATGTGGATAAATACTTGATGTGTTTTACACTCTTTTGCACTATTAATATTAGTTTTTCAAAGATCTTCTTTTGGTTACTTACTTGGTGCCTGACTTGGAATTCCACAATATTTTTTTTAACTGATGCTGCCTTAAACTTCAATTCATGTCTTTTAAATGATATATTGCAGGTCACAGCATATAACCAAAGCTGCATGGTAGATCTTTTTTGTGTGTTTTCAGTTTTCCAATTAGCTGAGAATACACTTAGAATACACTAACTGGTTAGTCTGCTAACCTCATACTACACAAAGTTTTGCAAAAAGATATCAAGAAATGTCATAATGCAACGAGCTATTTGATTTTCAGAATTTACAAACTTTTTTTTTTTCAGAATTTCTTGATGTCTAAGGAGGGTAGAATCTTATTTCTTGCTAAATCATATAACAGTACATTGTTGAATTATATGATTATAATCAATGTAATAATAATAAGACTAATAATAACAAAATTATTATAATTATATTATAAAACTATTATTATTAATTATAATGATCAGTGATCCGTACCCAGAGGAACATTAATTTGGGCTGGAAAACATAACCTTTTTATTTTATTTTTGTACTGCATTGTTAAGATGTTGTTGGGTGATTTCCGGACAAGTAAATAATCAGTTGTATTACTCTGAAAGACACGTACCTGGAAAAGCTTGTTGAGCTCTGCCTTTAAGCATTTAGATATGGGCTCCAGATTTTTAGGTCATTTAAACTTGCTTGTAAACACACTGAAAACGAGGAGGGGAGGGGTGCAATTCCTTAGCCATGTGTTTTTGTGTAACCTGATTTTCTGGCGCACATTGAAAACATTACTTGGGTCCTTTGACTTGTCAGTGGAAGAAAAAGGTTTTTTTTGTTTTTGTTTTTTACTTTGGAAAGCATGTGGTCTGACATGCCAGCATGAGTGGGCTCATGTGAGATTGTTTATCTTTCCATCCTCTCTCCTCTCGCTCTCTCTCTCTCTCTCTGCAGATTATCCATGAACCTCCACCACCAATAGTGGAAGATAGTTCGGTAAGAACTTTTTTTGGTTTTATGGTAATTGCCACACAATTGTCATAATGTAATTAAGCAGCATCTTATTCTAAACTGGCTAGTTAGGTCATTTATTTCTTCCCCGCCAACAAAAAAATAATGCCAGAAGAAAGCATCAAGGTTTGCCTTCCACGAAGCAGCACACAGAATGAAAACTGGTCTGGAACAGAAAATCAGTGGAGATTTCCCCTTTCTGCTCAAAGCATAATCATGCCAACGCTCATGCACACACTCTGGTCTGGAACGCAATGAGCACAGACAAGTGGTGTGAAACAAAATGAAATATCAGCTAATGTGTTGCAATATCAGCACTTTATTATGGCATTCTGGAATACTTGATTCTGATTGATCAATTATAGAACTGAGCAGTCAAGTATTTTTGTTTATTTAATTCTAAGAAAAAAATGGAACTTAGAATAGAAACTCTAAATAGAATTTTTATTTATTTTAATATACTATATATGGTCAGCATAAAAAAATAAAAATTTTGCTCTGACCAACAAGTTCCCAATACGTTGCAGTGTTCATGCCATGTAATTACAAGTTTTGTGAGGACATGAATGCTTTTTACAAGTTGGAATCTCGTAATTGGTATTTCTGTCATAGAGACACAAAGAGCTGGAAAAGAGAGAACTTAAAACAGAGAAAGACAAGTACCTTGGATTGCAAATTACTATTAATACATTATTACTGAGAAAATGTGTCTGTAGGTTATCTGGAAGTAAGATGACAAATATCCCGGTAAGTAGCTGTGTAATAAGTGGGGTAACGTATAGCATGCTGGTCATTGTCGTTTAAATAAACTCAGACCACGGAGGGGTGTTGTATCACCCTAAACTGTAGAGTTTATGGTGATTGTCTTATTTAACTCTTTATTTTTCTTGGATTATAGGATTAATCCCTAGGGGTCTCAAAGTACAAATCCACACATGAAAATTGTGCATTAATTAAGACCATAAAAAGAGTCTAATTTTGATGCAATTGTGTAACAATGTTATTTTGACAAACTCTTTCTGAAGGCCAGAATGATCCAGCTATTCAACAGGAACTTTGGGAGAGACTTTCGACTCAATAAAACTATCTAGATCTTTGTAGACTGTTGTTTAACCATGCTCTGCTGTGCTAAAATGAATTAGTTCAGTCTGGCCTTATTAAAGAACTGTAATATGATAGCTTTTTAAATCTTTCATTAGTGATGTCACTTTTGTAAGACCATAGGAATGTCATATGTGGAATGGTTGTGGGTTGGGGAATTTTCCCCAAAGGTTTCTTTAAATTACACTAAACTTTCAGGATATAAATGTTATGGGGAATCAAGAGGGTGGTCTGAAATATGAAGGGAGGGGACGGCTGTAAACCTTCTTTGATTAAGTATAGAGTCATTGATAAAAGATGGCTGTTCAAATCCCGAGGACTGATTGTTAAACAGGGTTAAATTTCTTCAGAGCTGGAAAAATAAAGTCATAACTTGAGTGAGCCAAGTTGGACTTATTTTACTGGATCAGGAAGAGCTAGGGAGGGCGTAAGGCATTGCTCGTGCCTTTCTGAGAGGCAATAAATGAAAAAGTCATGTTTTAAAAGAGTGAGTCACATCTCATTTAGGAAAATGCTGTGCCATTTAGGCCACAAAAATATGTTTGTGGAACAAAAAAAAAAAAATCTTCACAATAGTGTTCTTGTTTCATTCAACAAGATATGTATATTAGTTCTCAACGTAGAGACACCCGAGAACCAGATTTAGTATGAAACCTGTAACCCCTACTTAATATGGTCTGGGTTGAGGGATGAGGATTTTGGCATCTTCTTAATTTGGCTACCTTAGTAATGTGCACCAAAAAACAATTCCTGTTACCTGTTGTCCTAAACTAGAATAGCTTTGCAGCCTGCTGGCTGAGAACCATTGAGCTCTATTTTTGTTTATTGTCTCGTTGTTTGCTGTGCAAGGATGATGAAGAGGATGGAACGCCGAAGAAGAAGTGGCCCACAGTCGACGCGTCCTACTATGGAGGAAGAGGAGTTGGCGGCATTAAAAGAATGGAGGTAAACAACAGTTTTATTACTTACTAGACAGTGGCGGAGCCAGGATTTTTTCATAGGGGTGGCCAGGCAAGGGCCAGCAAACAGTCTGGGGTGGCACATAAATCTTAATTATTTTAACATAAAAATTTGTTTAAATAATGTATTGGACTGTTTTAGTGCCTTCCTACACAACTGAATACAGTTAATTTGTACTGAATTGTAATTGAGATAGTAGTGAATTAGGAATCATGGAATACTGAGTGAATTTGATCTTTTTTATTATTATTATTACTTACCACCTCCAGGCATATTAATAAAGGGGACACGCACTATAGCTAAAGTTCAACTTGCTCAGTTAGCTTGGTTCTGGTTCTCAAAACCCCTAACATTGTTGCACCTTCATGGATGAGACATGCAGATAGCCTACTGTAGTTCAAAGATTATTTAACCTTCATTGAATTTTATATAATCAATGAACTTCAACTTTCTATAGGCTATTAGTTGTCAAAATAAATAATATACCTAAATTAAAAAGGGGGGTAAACATCTCTTTTGAATCCCTATGTGCAAGAATGTGAACAAGGCGGAAGTCAACAGCACATAAATGCCAGAATGTAAAATTTGTTATTTTATGAATTTAAAAATTATCCATTTTTGTTTGTCCTTTACAAATTAATGTAAAATTACCGCCTATATCTTCTAGTACAAATGCACAGTGCTCACATTTATTTAAAAAATTACATAGCCTATCAGTTTGTGCCTTTAATTGTGATCTCACATGGCAGAATATTTTAGTCGAGACATATGTGATGCATATATAACAAATACATGCATGCATGCAGTTTTGACACAGATTTTATCGCCTTTTTGATTATTTCATGAGTTAATTGACGACAGAAAACTACAGCACGCCACATTTGCGCGTGATGTGCAAGTACAGTACAACGGCTGACAGGACCGGAAAGTTAGTTTTACTGACATTTGTTGACCTTACAACATCTCATCTTGCCGCAGTCCTACTGATTCAGGACAACGCGTTTTTCTCCGCATCTGACAGAAGTGTCACACGCTTTCACACAGATCGTTCAAAATAAAAGTAGCATCAGAAAAAAAAGAGAATTACGTTGTTGTTTCTTTGACTGCACATATGCGACTCACTCAAAACGGTTATGCAACCCACCAGTTGAGGAACATCGAATGTTCGAATCTGTATTTACTATGCTCCGATCACTGCTGAAGCTTATTCGGCACCTGTACATTTCCGCACTCGTTTGACTTGCGCCTGGCGCTGAGGTGAAGTTGGGGTGCGCGTCTGAAAAGTCTCACGTTTTTTGTGGTCTTAAAGAGACGGTTCTGTGTTTTAAAAACGCAATTCTTGTAAGAAAGAAAAAAAGAAAAAGAAAAAATAGAGCGAGATAGAAACAGAAGTTGTGAGAGGGGTGGCCAAAGGGGTGGCCAAGCTCAAGCCAAGGGTGGCCATGGCCACCCCTGGCCACCCCCTGGCTCCGCCACTGTTACTAGAGGCCACCAGCCACTAAATTAGCACACACTCAGTCACTTAACAGATGCTTTTCATCCAGATGAAGTGGGCCGTGTCTCTTGAGGAACCTAGGGTTAAGTATCTTTCTTAACGGTGATCGATTCTGTCTGTAAATCTCCAGTTGACAGTTTGCCTCTACTTGGAATGAAACCACTGTTGTTTACATTACTTGCCAAGAGACTTCCCCAAGCACGTCATAATTGAAGTCAGCAATGCTGCCGAAAGTGAATATAAAAGCCTACAACTGTGGAGAAAAACAGGAAATACAGAAGGGAAAGTAAAATGTTTGTTAGGTGCATTCACAAAAAGTAAGCTTGAAATAAACAATGTAGCCTACTATGCAAACCTCATTAACAACACCTTACAAATGCCATGATAAAACAAGGGAAAACAGTTTAATCCGGTCTAGTTTGCTGGTTTTAGATGGGTTTTGGACACTGGAGCTAAACTAAATCATTTGAACACCAGCTTAACTGGGCTGGGAGACCAGCTAAACCACCTTAAGCCCGGGACACGCCAAGCCGACGTCAAAGAACTAGCGTCGCCTCTCGTCAGCTGCGTCTCTGCAAAAAACTGCGCTTGAACACACTAAAAGGACTAAAGGCGACTGTTAACTAGCGCATGTGTTCTGCCCCTGCATGTAAGTAAGTATCTGTCTAAATCAGCAGGTATCAATAGTCTATTTTCATCATTCAAAAAGGGAAACTGAAACTAGATCTGCAGATATAAAAACCATAAACAAAGAAGCGCTTGCTTACCATTTTGAATATCAGTCACGCTGATCACTTCCAGTCATCATGTTATAATGAAAATATCTGTGCATTTGAATGCTCAGGTAAGATGACATAAAATGATAACACCCTTCTGTCTGTACCGTCTTGACTTCTTTACTCGCTTCCATCACATTTGCTTTTATTCTTGTGCACTGACTCGTTAGCTAAGCAGCCAATCAGAGTTCTCTCTCTCACCGACGGCCCAACGCTGATTCAACATGCTGAATCGGCCCAAAAAACCCTGACGGCGTCCAACTAGAGCCAACGGTGTGGTACACACCAAATAAATTGGTGTGTCCCGGCCTTTAGGCTGGTTAAGGCTTTTTTTTTTTTTAACAAATAGTTGCCGGTAGAGTATCAGAGTTTACGATCACAGCAGGACTTAAATTGAGGACAACAAGCGTGTGTGCATTATACAGCTCATCTGCTGTTTGGGATCCTTCCTTCCGTCAAACATTCTCGCTAAATTACCAGCACTGCAGAGTAGGCGATGTAAAGGAGCAGTAACCGATTTCTGGATCACTGTTGATATATAAAATCACCAAAACAAAAACGCCCCTACCCAAAAGGATCCCACCCCTATCTTGATGCCACAGACAACGACTATGTTGAACCTGTGCCTGCTGCTATGATGTCATCAATAATTGAAAGCAATCAGGGTTGGGGAGTAACTGAATCCATGCAATGGTGTTACGTAATCAGGATAAGAAAATGTGGTAACTGTAAAACAAAAATAAAAAAACAAAGTAATCAGATTATAGTTCCATTTAAAAAAAAAAAAAAAAAAAAAGGAATACTCTCAGGATTACAATGGTTTCACTTAAAACTAAATAAATTAGTATTTTGACATAATAACGCTATATATTGACATTAGTGATGAGCAGATTGCATCATATCAGTGGAGACAGCAGATAATCCGGGCGGGCGGGCCAAGTAATAAAAAAATAACATTCCAATTAATTGCTGGCGGATGAGAGATAAATCATCAATGTGTTGATTTTAATAAAGACGTGGAACTCTCATTTCACGGTAAACCGCAATGTGACGACCGGGTGCAGATATCTAAATCAGAGAAAATCATAGGTTCGAGTGGGTGGCGGGTGGATGATTTATATTAACAGTGAATACGGTTGACGTTAGAACTGATCCGCACATCTCTAGTTGACAGCTGGTTCTGTTGCCAGTCATGACTCATGTGTGTCTCATCATTCTCCTGAATATTGCTTTTTACTTGACTTTATTTACATACGTGACCATGAAGGAATCCAAAAGTAATCAGATTACATTACTTTCATATTGTGGTGCTTGGATTACATTACTGAATAACTTTTTTATGAAGTAAGTTGTAACTTTAACGGAACACATTTTAACCCTCCCAACTCTGAAAGCAATTTGTTACTATTATAAATCAGGTTGAATGTCTAATTGATATTTAGCTCCTCTTCTCCTCATTCTCCTCTACATAACACGATAGTCAAAGTAACTAATATAATACAAATGGAAAAAAATAAGAAATATTTCAGAGTAAGATTTGTCATTTGAACTCCTCTTTGGAGAAGGTCGGATGTTCTTGCTTCCTTTAAAGCTCTTCAGATCATTGTCATATCATGCTGGATAACATGATCATCACCATCCTTTCAGGTTCGCTGGGGTGAGAAAGGTTCGACCGAAGAGGGTGCTAAACTGGAAAAGGCGAAGAACGCAAGGGTAAAGATGCCTGAACAAGAGTTTGAAGCTCCTCCTTCTCGCATCCTAAATAATGGCATGCGGAAACCACCAGGCCCTCGCAAATGGTACTCCCCTATAAAGGTGAGAACAATAGCATGTTCTCGGGGTACACATGATAACTAAAATCGGGTACATTTAGCAATATAGCGGGTGAATTATGTATATGATGTAAATTACGATGTTATGATGACCTATGCCTTTCTCCACTGACGACGTTCTGAGTTGTTCAAAGTGTTTCTAAGGATGCTGATTGGTAGAAGGCGCTCTTTGACTCTGAGATGGCGAATGGGAACATGGCAACACATTATTAGCTTATTTATAACGTAGTCAAGCAAAAGGCTAATCATATTAATTACCGTTATTGTAAAGAGCGATACCGTTTTCCATTTATAATAGTCCTTTACGATTGTTCCTTGTCGGACTGTACGAACATGATCCCCGATGTAATCCGTCACACTGTAAGATCTCAGTTGTCATTGATGTCAGACTGTACGACGATCAAGATGCGTTAAAAACGGACACACTCAATTCACATCATCAGTCAATGACACGTTCGGTGACAGTGAGCTGCATGACACGCGGGATTGAAATGGTGGCTACAAAGAAATCTTAACGTTAATTTTGGTCATGGGTTTTCTTGAAAACTGAAGACCATTTGGCGGTCGTCGTAGACGTTACACTGCAGGACTGTGAGAGTCAAACCTTCTGACACTGGCAGAATTTCATCTGAGGTAAAATTCGATCGCAACGGTCATTTATCGGCTGTCGGTGAGCATGTCAAACTAACGGACAAAGACTTCAGATTTTAGCCTAGGATCAGAGGAACTTTGCATACAGTATGTACATGACCTTTGTTATGACTTGCTGATCTCTGTATTGGACTGCAGCTCACAGTGTTGTTCGTTTGGATGGGCCCTGTTGCTGAGTTCTGAATAAGGCCCAAGACATACTCTACATAAGTATGTGACTGCAGATGCATCTAGCTACACGTTTAAATTTGGGCATTGCCGTGTTTTGTGCCAGACTGAAATTTATAATACCTACGTGCTGTAGTCTTAGCTTTGCCACAAGGTGCACTATAGTCTCTTTCTATGAGTTTTCTATGGTTTTCTATTATGGGCATGTAGATAATGCATTGATTTCTTCTGTGAAGCACAAAAGAAGATATTTTGAAGAACAACAAAATTGGCTCAATTCACTTTCAATGAATGCGCAAAAACACTGAATGTTTGTAAAAAAAAGTTTATTCGTGTTCCATTGAACACTAAGGGCCCTATTTTAACGATCTGAAACGCAAGTGTCAAAGCGCAAAGCGCAAGTAACTTTGTGGGCGGATCCCGGCGCTGTTGCTATTTTCCCGGCGGGATAAATGCCTCTTGCGCCTGGCGCAAATCTAAAAGGGGTTGGTCTGAATTAGCTTCATTATTCATAGGTGTGGTTTGGGCGTAACGTGAAATAAACCAATCAGAGCGTCATCTCACATTCCCTTTAAGAGCAGGTGCGCATGTTGCATGGCGGATTGCTATTATAACTGCGGATTTACCAGGCGCGCGCCAGGAGCGGTTCACAGCCGAGGAGACCGACGTTCTTGTCAGGACCGTGAAAGACAGAGAAGTGACGTTGTATGGGGATGGGAGAAACCCACCCAAATCAGCGTCGGTTAAACAGGCGTGGGAGGAAAAAAACTAAAAATTTTACATCTTCATGGACACCACAATGATTTCCCTCATGTGTTAATATTTTTCCTTGTTATAATGTATGATTTGCAAAAATAAAAACTGCTGCATCTGTGTTGATGAGAGAATCAAAGTGTATGCGCGTTGTGCACCCGCTACATTGTGGCCAAGCATGCGCGCTTAAAATAGCATTATGAACAACGCGCAACGCGCCACTGACTTTAGACTAGGGTTTTTCTGGTCAGTGGGGCAATTGTTTTATAGAACAGCAAAATAGCATGAGGGAAAGTTTGCACCGGAACACGCCTCCTCTTTGCGCTGAGCCGCCCCGGGGAGCGCAAGTGTATTTCTTAGTTAACCGACGTGTGTCTGTGGAGGGAAAAGTCCGCTTTGCGCGGGTGCAAAATAGGAATGATACATGCGTCAGTGTACAAAGTCATTTGCGCCGGGTGCAAGATAGAGCCCTAAGACTGTAGATGAGACTCTGCTGACAGCTATACATGAGCAGCCCCCCACCACGCAGTTCTCCTGCTGAAGTAATATGTCTAAAACCATGACTTGAGATGTCAATGCTTATAATCAAACGTCCATGAATCATAGCTGGGGGATTTGTAATACAGACCAGAAACTGTGATGACCTCCAAGAAACTGGGCCTGCGGAGTCAGCATTTCATTACACTCAAAACCAGGTTTCCCTCATTTCACCTCTCTCTGTACAATCACTCTCATAGACCCTGCCGTCCAAGAGCGCTGAGCATTGCCAAGTCCCCCCCAAGAATGCTGTTTCATATTAATAACCCTGGGGCAGATAGCGAAGCATTGATTCATTCTAAACTATGGCTTTGAGATTTATCCGTCTCATCTGATAATGAGCCAGATAGTCCACATGTGGGGTGTTGAGTTCAGGAAATCTCTTTGTTAATAAAACCCATTTCCCAGAGTTTAGTGACTGATCAATGTGAGGAACAAGCTCTTAAACACCTGAGGGTCGAAGAAGACCTGAATCGCACAGCAGAAGCACAGTTGCTTTTTCGAACTTAATTTTCATGTCTTTGATGTGTGTGTGTGTGTATGCAGGGAAAACTGGATGCATTGTGGGTACTTCTGAAGAAAGGGTATGATCGAGTGTCCATCATGCGACCACAACCAGGAGACAAGGTAAGCCACTTAGTTCATTGTTTATTGTATCACAGAACAATTTGTTTCTTTATCATGTTATCAGAGCCCATTTCTTTGTGCGTATATACACAGTAACTAAAATACGAAAATTAAATAATTCGGTGTTATCTAGAAGTCAATAATTACTGTTGTTTTCCCGTTCCCGTGACTCAGCTGGTAAAGCATAGCATTATAATTGACAAGGTCATGGGTTCAATTCCCTATTAACATACTGTATATAGCTCGAATGTACTGTATGTAACTTTGGGGAAAAAATATTGGTCAAATGCATTATTGATTTTTGTTTGCACAAAGGAGCAACATTAGAAGGGTGTGAGAACGTCGTTTCCTTTGTGAACAGGAATGGAATAATACAAGGTTTTGAGCAGTTGGGATTAGACATGATTTGGATATACGGACATGCAGTACTGTATACGCTTTATGAGTTGTTGTTTGGTAATATGAGTGAGTAGGATGCGGTTGTTGGGAATATGTGTGAAGAGTGGATGGAAGTTGGGGAGTTTAGAGCTGAACGGGGTAATTATCTGCAAATAGTTTACTGTTTCCAGTTTCCACTTAGTTTCTTTGTAAAGACGAACACACACTCAATGACTCCGAAGCTTAAAAAAAGATCTTTACTGACTTTTCTTGATTCATTTTTCACAGTCCAACCGAGCAATCTGTTAAATCGCTATTATAACTGTCAGTTAATTCAATATGACTTGGCTTTACTGAAGTGCTGAAAAGCAGAAATAAAAAGATGAATATGGCTCTATTCTACAGCTTGATAGGAAATGAAAACCAGGCTCACACTGACAGAGCTTTACACAGCATGGATATAGACATCCTAGATCTTTGTTCAGTTCGGTTTCAAAGAGCTTTTTTGTCATTTTTGGAGCTTGTGCTCACTATCCATTTTTGTTTATTAAAAAATCTCCTTTTGTGTCATATGTAGAAATATAAACATACGGAACAGCTTGAGGGTTCAATAAATTATGATAATGATTGTATAAACTATTCATATAAGTGTGTATATTTTCATTTAGTAATGTTTAGTAAAACAAAGGTCACCTTTGCTAAAACATTTATCATGAACGTTTATGACAAATGTTGCAGTTAGACTTGGCTTCGTCTCTATAGCCTGCATTTGCTTTCACTCCGTGCTTCTTTCAAACATTCTTCTATCCTCGTCTGGACGGAGAACAACTACAGACCGAGTCAAAGCCCACCTGTTGCATGCTGGGTCTCCTGGGCTAAGCAAATAAACAGAGGAAATGCATATCATGTATCCCAGTTGGGGATGTGCATGAAATTAAATATGAAGTTCTTTAGGGTTGACTCGTATGTTATTATGCTACTTATGCAGTGGGTGATTTGACTATAAAGTTTATAAAAAATGGGAACAGGATCCCATACACAATGCTGTTCATAGACTATTAAATACGGGTTGGAGATGTGATGAACTCTTTCAGGGCACGATCAGGTCTCGTTGTTCAGAAAATATACAATACACTGGTTACTGATATCACTTATTACCGACCCCAAACCTTTGAATGGAATGGAACCACATTGCAACAGCACCGCAACCTTGGCAGCAACTTATGCATATGCAACCATGACTCACAATTTCTTCACAAAGTTAATCCAAGTGCATGAAATCTAGATTGTATGAACAAGATAAATCACATTGAACAATGCACTACCAATAACTTGGCGGCTCCTGCAAGCCTGTACTGAGTGCTGCTAAACCAGGCTGTCATTTTCTCCTCTACGAAACATGTGCAGCTTTATTTTACCAAAGTAAAAAGATGGGTTCCAATGTCAACAGAACCAGTTGGACTTAACACCATGCGCAGAGGGTGTTGTCATTTCTAAATGTGAAGCACAGTGCAAAACTCAACACCCACACCCTCATTTTCTCTGAGGAGCTTGCTTAGTAGCTCTACATGCCATATCCCCACTGTGAGTCACATTTGACTTCAACTTTGGACCTAATCCTCTTAAAGAGATGTTTCACAAAATCACCAACAAATCATTTCCTCACTGTCTTGTGCTATGCTGCTCCATGTATCTGCAGGAAAGATGGTGTTGATCAGATTGCTGATCGATGCCAAGAATTTGTGCTTGCATCATAGAAGGATTTTTATTGAAAGGACATGCACAGTGATACTCAACACAACTGACTACTCAACAAAGCAATCAGATTTCAACAAAGAAGCTTAAAAGAGATATGGCCCTAAAAGATCCAACAGAAAACCAGAAACAATAGAGTCTAGACTTGTCTATCATGAAAATTATACAACTGCTTTACAAGAGGACAGCCAAACATAGTACAGTGATTAACACCATCAGGGAGGCGACACCCTCAGAGATTATAGAGTATGATGACATCACAGTATGAGGTTGAAAACATCACCATTTCACCACAATGGATGAAGCCACTTGGACGCATGCCGATACCTAATGGAAAAACACATCCAGATGCTCCAAAACGAAACAGTAAAAGATATTCAGTGATGATCTGGATGACTGAGTGTTCACAGGTCTCATGAAAATGAATGTGGCAGTACTATTGTGCAGTTATAGCATGGAATGGCAATGACACTACATTGCAGTATTTCCCATAAACTCTTTCCCCGCCATTGACGGAAATTACAAATCTTCCGAAAGAGTACAGAATCTCCTGATCAAAACACATGTGAAGAAGAAGAAGAAACAAGCGATCTGTAAAATGGCGTGATCATCAAAATTAAACAGCATATAATTCAAAACTGCCTAATGTTACTGAATGAAATGTCGACCCAGGACGAGCTGTAGAAGCTTAAGTGAAGCTTAAAGGGACAATGTGTAGTTTTTTAAATATTTAATTATCTAAAATCAATATTTTTATTCATAAATATGTCCTCACTGGTGTACAAATACCTCTGCCAATGATCTGACTTATCCTCGTTAACGAAGAATTTATTATCTTTATATACATAGGACGGGTAGGTCCACGGAGGCTTCCATGTCGTTCCGCCATCTTGATAAACTATAATAGCAGAGAGGGACAAAAAGTACTATGCCAACGCATTTCCACAACTCGTTTTCGTTCAGAGCCAGCGTCACGTGACTAAAAGCAGCTGAACCGGACAAAAAGATTTGAGAGACGCTTGTCACTGCCACGGCAAGTTTAAAAGGCTGCACTTCACGTTGTTTATAATGGAGGACCATACTTATGTGGAATTAGCAAAAAACAAGGTTTGATGTCGGGATAGCTTTTTACGGGTGGAAAGAGTTGATGCAGGAGAAAGCTTTCATTCAAAATAGATGCTGAACTTGCCTGCTTTCTTCTCAACAGGTAAGTCAATGTTACGGTCTAAATTACAAGCTTTTTTTCATTGCTGCTAGGAAACTTTCAATTCTATCAAATATCCGTTTGTTCGTTGTGTCAAGTTGCAGTTTGTTTGAAATAACAAACCTGTTCACCCAAAGGAAAACTCGATGAAGTGCTATTAGAAGACATCCTGTCATAGCTTTTTGGTACATAACGGCTACCATAGAAGCAACACGCATTTGAAAAAGCGAGGCGCTGTAGAGCACTATTCGTTTGAATGCAAAATACAATTTCACCACTAGATGTGAAAAAATTCCTACACATTGTCCCTTTAATGAGTGTTGATGGACTCAATTTACTCCATCTGTGTTTTGATCATCATTCTTAATCCCATCCAGACCATCCCATTCCATCCATTTATAAAACTTACCCACATTCAAGTGTTGATAAAAAAAGGAATGCATGAAGCATGCATGCATTTTAAATCAGAGGCTCTGTTCTTTCTATTGATATATTGCATATTCAGATATTCATACAACAAATTAATCTGGGGACCATAAAACGTTTGTGAAAATGATAGAAAATGCTGGTGGTGACTGGCAACTTATTTCAAAAATAAGGGGAAAGAGTTAATTACCTAGACTCTGGTGACCTGTCACAGTCTAATCCAGGGGTGTCCAGTCCTCCTCCTGGGGGGTTCGATCACTGTCCTGCTGAGTTCAGCTCCAACCCCAATTAAACACACATGAAGCAGCAAATCAAGCTCTTACTAGGCATACTAGAAACTTCCGGGCAGCTGTGCTTGCGTTAAACTCTGCAGGACAGTGGCCCTCCAGGACCGATTTTGAAAACCCCCGGTCTAATCTGTCCTGCCACCGTTTCATAATGAACCAAAAATATTTTCCCAGACAGCAACATAGTGTCGGCCCAGATCCGGCCCACATCTGGTACGTCTGGAATCCACGTGTACCAGATGTGGGCCGACACTGTGTTGGTGTCTGGGTTTACACTTCTCATTAACATTATTAAAACATGTTTGTAAACCTGTTTTTACATAAACTTCAGATTTTCACAAAAATAAAAGCTTGAGGAAGCAACTGCAAGTGAAGAACTTAAGACCAAAATGTTGTAATATACTGTTAAGTATTATGAAATATTCATTTTTAATTTACATTTATTTTACAGTGCATTATTAGTAGTATATTGTGAATTTAATGAAGACTGAGACACTATATCACAACTAAAAAGAGGTTTGAGTCCACTTTAAAGGTGCTGTATGTAATATTTTTGACGTTACTAAAGCACAAAAAAACATAATATATTTGCAGAGATTTAGGAAACATGCTAAGTTCACATACTCGTTTCTCTAAATAACAATGCTACCAATAACAAAGCCAGTTATTCTGCTTTGAAATGTGCGTTCCGTGTCGGAATGTCTGTTTTTGTTTTGATCTGTGTGATCCCGCCCACTTCCAATTTAACCAATCGTATTTTGACACCTCAGGGTTGACAGTTGGCGGAATTGAAAACACAGCGTATTGTAGCCATGGAATCATAAATCAACTCATAAACTTACAATTTAAGCCTTCCATTGTCAATTGCGCTCGTTCCTGTTGCGTGTCCTCAATCTGGCAACCCGTGTGAGCGTCGAGTCTGAGCAGGAGGGGGCGGGAAACAACGAACT